AATCCTCACCTCTGGCTGTCGCTGGACAGGTACTCTGCAAACATGCGCACAGCCTGGAGCTCAGGGGCTGAGGAAGGCTTGATCTCATCCAGGACCACGCCATACTTCCTCTATGGTGAGACAAGCACACTATCAGCTCCACTCGCCCTGCCCTGTAAGAGCTTCTCGGGGTTCCCATCCCCCAACAAAGCCCCAATGCCTGGAACCAGCACCCACCGCCCTCAGGGACCCCCTCATCCTGCCAGGCGCCTCACCTCCACTCAGCACTGTTCCTTACTCTCCCACCCCAGGGATGCAGGCAGTCAGCCCACGCTCACCTGTGCGAGGTACGCTCTGTATAGGAAGACGTCCCTTTCCACATCTCTCTCTGGACTTGAAGGCTGTGGAAACAGAGGTGGGTCAGGACCTACAGGGCCATGTACGCTATGGGCCCTCAGAGGCCAGGAGCAGACAGCTTCCCTGGTGGAGTCCAGGCCCTGGCTCTCAGCTTCCTGTGCCCTTGGGCAGCAGGAGGGCAGCCTCCGCTGAGGGAACACAGCATGGCGGGCACCTATCTTGTCCTATCCAGACATCACCCAGGGAAGGAGGCTTGATTGTCAGCCACTTGTCCAGGTGAGGAACTGGGCACTGAAAGTGCCACAACTGCTCCAGCCACAAGACAAAGGGACGGGTGATGCTGCAGAACAGATGGGACCAGGGTGGAGATGTGTGAAGAGGACCTTATTTTTGTTACAAATACTTCCAGGTAGCTTACTCCTGTCCTGCTTTTGTTTTAAAACACTCTTTAAACATGACACGCGCCCGGCCGGGCATGGCTCAGCGGTTGAGTGTCGACCTGGGATCCAGGCGATCAGGGTTCGATTCCCAGTCAGAGCACATGCCCAGTTGTGGGCTTGATCAATGACTCTGTCATCATTGATGTTTCTGTCTCTCTCTCTCTCCCTCTCCTTTCCTCTCTCTGAAATCAATAAAGATATATTTAAAAAAACCAAAAATTAAAAAAAAAAAACATGACACGCAGAAGGGATGAAAGTCTGCCTCACTCAGAAGACATTTCTGGGAGAGCTCAGCTCCGCTGCTCCAGCACAATGATGTCTATGTCTAGCCTGGGCCAGGTGAGAATGAGGGGACCTCCCTGTACTTGGCGACAAGGTCCACGGGCTACACTGCCTCAGCCTAACCACCACAGAGCCGAGAAGCAGAAGTGAGGTGACCTCACACAGCATTCACTGTGGGACTGTGAGAAGGTCCCAGGAGGCTGCAGACAGGGAAGGGACTCTCTCTTGGGAGAACAGCTTTTGGACCCCTGGGTGCTGGCCAACTTCCTGGAGGCCCTGTGGTGCCTGCAACAGGAGGACACAGAGGAGCAGTGGGGGTGGAACAGAGGGTGTGGGGGCAGTGGCACAGGCCACCTGAAGGGCTGGCAGAGAAAAGTGAGGTGGGAAGAGGGGCCTCTCCAACAAGCCCAGAGAGATGGCCTGTATGGCTGCCACAACACAGGAACAAAGGGTCTGGAGCTCCACAGGTAGAACACCAGGACTGCCCTTCCCCAAGGTGAGAACCAGATCCTTGTCACTATGCCTTCTTCTCCCCAGCCTGAGGGGTGGGGGTGAGGGTGGTGACCAACAGTGTCCTCCTAAGCCATGGGAGAGACCACAAATAAGTAGCCTGGCTCCTGGCCCCAGCCTGACTCAGGCCAACTTCACTGCAGGGTCCCAAAAGCTTTCTTTGGGACATCATGGTGACATAGTGCTAGGACACACCAGTGTTCTACCTAGAGCCACTTCAGGTGATGCCCATCTGAGGTTCCTGGGGACACTGTACCCAAACTACCACAGGCTGGGGATCTGGCCATGATTTAGAACACAACGTCTGCTAAATAAGTGACTTTCAAATGACCCTCAGAGATAAACACTGGTGTGAACAACCCATCTGGGGGTCCTTACACTATCTTCAATTAAAAAAATACACATGCTGGCTCTTCGTGTCTTCGAAGAAAGGACACAGTGGGGGAATCCGAGGAGGACCTTAGGTCCCAAAGGCAACTCTGAGCTTCAACTACCCCATCTGTAAAATGCCCCATCTGTGGGTACCACCACCACAGATCCTGTAGGACTGCCAAGGTCTCACCAAGAAGCCACATGTGAATGCTTGGGACCCTCTCAATTAGCCAGAGAGAGAAAAGCTTCTGGGAGGGGTAAGAACAAACACAGATGCACAGACTAGGGGCACCAGGTGAGCGCTCTAATACTCAGTACTGACAGCTCATCAGAATCATCTGGGAGCTCAGAAACCAGCAAAGCCAGGAGGCCCATGCCTATTAGTGCTGCCTGAACCGGGGTGGTCCTACCTGCCCCCAGGCAGTAGATAGGTTCAGTGAAGCCTGAGAGCAAGAGGTACTATGTGGGAGGCCAGTGATGGAGTGGAGGTCGGGGGTTGTGTTCCCTCCCTTACAGGCCATGAGAGTCACCTGACCACACTAGATGGTCAGCTCCTCTGAGGCTTTCTTCTGTTTTGTCCCCAATACCTGGATGGTGCCTGCCATCTTGTGGGCACTTGAAAACTGTCTGACAAACAGGAACATCATGGTGACATAGTGCTAGGACACACCAGTGTTCTACCTGGAGCCACTTCAGGTGATGCCCATCTGAGGTTCCTGGGGACACTGTACCCAAACTACCACAAACTGAGGGCTTAAAACAGCAGAAAATTATAGAAACTTATTCCCTCACAGTCCTGGAGGCCAGAAGTCCAAGATCAAGGTGTCAGCAGGGCCACACTCCCTCCAAAGGCTCTAGGGGAGAATCTTTCTTTGCCTAGTCCATCTTATGGTGGCTCCAGGCATTCCTTGGTCTATGGCTATATCACCATAAACCTCTGCCTCCATCTTCTCTGTCTACCTCAAAACCTTCTCTGCCTTTCTCTTAGAAGAAAAGGATAACAGTCATTCAATTTAGGGCCTTCCTAAATTCCTGCTGATCTCATCTAGAGATCCTTCATTGAATTACATCTGCAAAGACCCTTTTTCCAAATAAGTCACATTAACAGGTTCTGGGTTGGACATATCTTTTGGAGGATAGCACTGAATGCAGTACAGGCTGCCTAAGAGCTTAGGTGCTCCATGGACCAGAATTAAATGATATTAAATGGCTCAGTGCTCCCATTCTCTGCATGCCTCAGGGATAATGACTTGGCATGTCCATGGCTCAGAAGCTGAGTTGTGTGTGCCTCCAGCCAGGGTGACCACTGGCATGATTTCCTTTCTTTTCAGTCACTCTCTATGTACAGCAGATTATGCTGGTTCCTTCAGCAGTAATATAAAGTTTGCATATTATGATGTGAGAAGACTCAAATAACACATTGCTATGATGTAAGCAGCACAGACACATGGCAGAAACCAAAAGGTGAACATAGCCCGGCCGGCGTGGCTCAGAGGGTGAGCATCAGCCTATGATACAGGGGATCCAGGTTCGATTCCCAGTCAGGGCACATGCCTGGGTTTCGGGCTTGATCCCCAGCAGGGGGTGTGTAGGAGGCAGCTGATCAATGGCTCTCTCTCATCATTGATGTTTCTCTCTCTTTCTCCCTTCCTATCTCTGAAATCAATAAAAACATTTAAAAAAAAGTGAACATGAGTACAATGCTGAATTTTACAGTGACCCTACTGAGGTGTCCTTGTTCCCATTTGACAGGAGGGGAAACTGAGGCTCAGCCCTGGTTGCAGAGACAACATAAAAGAGTGGGAATCTGAGCCCAAGTCTATTTCAATCTTCTCACAGTCTACACTACTCCAGCAAGGAGGCACATACAATTTTGGTGGTGGGCTAAATAAGGTTCCCCAGAGATGTCCATGCCATCTCTGTGAACAGCTTGCATTACATCATGAGGGACCTGTGAACAGCTTGCATTACATCATGAGGGACTTCGCAGATATGATTAAGGTATGGACCCTAAAATGGGGAGTCTGCTGATTATCCAGGAGGGCGAATTCTAATCATGAAAGCCTTAAAAGCAGAGACAAGGCAGAAGGAAAGGAGCAGATGGGGAAATTTGAGAGACTTCAAATGTGAAAATCCTATGGCTGGTTCTGAGATGGGGTTTGGGGTGAGGAGAGTATATGCAAGGCTGAGAATTGGAGATAAGCCTCTAGGAGCTAAGAGTGGCCCCAGGAGGAGAGCCCACAATCTGAATGTGTCTAGGAGCAGATTTTTCCCTAGAAGCTCCAGAAAAGACAAAGCCTGGATGACACCTTGAATTTAGCACAGTGAGAGCCGTACTGGACTTCTGACCTACAGGAACCATGAGAGATTAATAAATTAGTGTTGTCTTATGCTGTCTGTTGTAAACTGTCAAGGCAGCAACAGGAAATTAATACAATCGTGCAAATGTTATCTCAACAAACTCTAACAGCTTCCTGAAATCTGTTTGAGGTTTTATCCCCATTATACAGATGCTCAGGGATATCGGGTTCATTGCTGAAGATGAGAAGCAATGGAAAGCAAGCCTTCTCTACTCAGAGTCCAAATTCCTCCCAGTCATCTGGTTGCCTCTGTGTAGATACCACACCCTTCTTTGGTGCTCTGATGGCATCCCACACCTTCGGAATAAAATCCAAACCCCTGCTGTGGCCCACAAGGCCCTTCCTCTCACCCTGCCCACATCATTCTCCATCCTGCCCCTTGACACCCCCCCCACACACACACACACATACACTTCTGCTACACTGGCCTCTCATGCCTTGATTACCCTGATCTTGCACCTGCCACAGCACCTTTGCAGCTTTGATGCTTCTCAAAGTTCAGCCTCAGGTTCAAATGACAATGGGAGAGGCAATGCTCGATTGGGCCACTCCCACATAAAGCAGCCAACCCTCCCCCAATTATAGACTGAGTGCTTTTTATCTCCCTTTGCCCGCACATACTGCTCAAGTTCTAAGTACTATTCACTCACTTCTTCGTTTACTCTCTTTGGAACACTAGGCTGTGAACGCAGGCAAAGAACCTGCTATGTTCCATGCTCTTAAAAATTCTCCAGTGGTTCACTCAAAGTGACAGAAGACCCATGTCCTTCCCTTAAAGGTCTTGCTAACAGCTCTTGCTGTCCCTCCTGCCCTGGTCATCAGCTTCTCTCTGGCTGAACCTGCCTGCAGATTTATTTTCTAGCTCTCAAACAGCCAAGCTAATTCCCTCACTCTATATCACACCACCTCTTGACTTACTCATTTATTTACTCCTTTACTGTCTCCCTTGCCAGGCTGAGATTCCCAAAAGAGAGCTGAGAGTTTTGTCTATTTTGTCAATGTTTTGAGCCCAGCACGAACACACTGCCTGACCCATCCAGATGCTCACTGAGGAATGAATGAAAGAGCGAGTCTGGGGAGAAATAACCGGGCTAGTGGGGCAGTGTAACGTCGACGAAGTCATTTCTCTTTTGAAAATCGGTATTTTCATCTGTGAAATGAGATAAACAATTCCTACTTCACGGGTATTGAGGGTATGGCGCCCAGTATGGGCGGCCAACAAATGAGAATTACTACCATTATTATTACTATAGTGGCATAAACGCCTCTTTTACTCAAACGCCTTCCAGGGCGCAGAGCAAGGGCTCTAAGTAAAAACTGCTACTGCTTCGGGTGATGTCATGGGAGGAGGATTAACTCCTCACCGCCTCTGAAGAGATGCGTGAGGTATAAATGCCACCAAAAGAGAGTTTTTAAAAACAGAGCGCGACCCGCGGCCACCAGGAAGCGGCCTCCATCTGTCCCCGGCCCCAGAGCCGCCGCACCTTCACCCTCTGCGCCTCGTTGATGCACTGCTGGTAGCTGCCGATGTAGAAGGCGTTCTTCACATCGAACAGCTCGTCCACTTCCCCAGAGCCGCCGGAGGCCAGGCCAGGAGCCGGAGGAGCCATCTCGCTCTGGTCTAACCCTCTCCTCTTCCGGAGCGACACGTCCACAGGAAGCGGGGATCCACCGCGGGGCACGCCGGGAAACGTAGTTTACTCGTCCGGCTTGAAGATGAGCCAATGGGAAAGTCCTAAACAAGGGTAAAGGGGCGGGTGACACAAGTGCATCTCGCATGGCATTTAGGGAATTGTAGTTTGATTTAATCTTGCGAACCAATGGGATTCGGAAAAACATGGTAAGGATGTGACCTAGGCTGGGAATGGCAGAGAGAGCTTAAGAGGGTGGAACCACGCAGGAGTAGCATCCAATCAACGGTAAAAAATTTTATTACGCAATTGGCACGCGCCGGAAGCGCAGCTCACAAGAGTTCAAAAGCTGGCAACGAGGATGGCCGGGTTTGCTGAGCTCGGGCTATCCTCTTGGCTCGTGGAACAATGTCGGCAGCTGGGTTTGAAGCAACCCACGCCCGTGCAGCTTGGCTGCATCCCAGCTATCCTGGAAGGTGAGTGTAGCCCGGCCTCTTCCCCAAGAGGCGTCTCCTTTCCTGTCGCCCCCTCCTTTCCCTTTATCCTTGCTGGTCCTGCTAGGCGAGAGCAGCCTCGGGCGTTTCGGGGAGCCTGGGTTCCGGAGACAGACCAGCAGTGTTGTTAGCCTTTAGGTTACGCGACTCACTCACTGTGTGTCCGCGCACAAGTGATATAACCCCTGAAACTTACATAGTCTCAGAACTCAGGAAGGTGTTGATGAATGACTAACTGATAGTACTGGCTAAATTGAGTACGACTTGCGCTCTGTCGTCTTCATTTTACAAATGGAAACTGAGGCTGTCAAGATTACTGGTAGATCCAGGATTCTGATAGCGTGACTGCTCTTCTCCCCATTCTTCTAGCCCAATCTAGTTTTGCCATTGCAGAGATGCCCTCAGGAAGCTTAGGACGTGAGAAGTTGACGGATTAAATTAACAAAGGTGAAAGAATCAATAGGGAACATAAGATGCAGATTGGAGGAGGGCATTACAGGTTCCCTAAGCTCAGATGATGGTGGTGGGGGGGAGGGTTGTCAAAATGAGGTAGCGGTTAGTAGCATCTTGGGTCATGGATGTGGGTTCTAGTCCAGCCTGCTACTCACTGGCTGTGTTCCTGGGCAAATTTCTGAGTCTCAGTTTCCTTTTCTGTTAAATGAGAAAGATAATGGTCTCTCCTTCCTAGAATTTGTCAGTATGCCCAGAATGGAAAGGGCATGGGCTAGTACCAAGCACACAGTAACTACTCAATGGAACACCTGTCTACGCCTAAACTATTGATGTTGCTTTGCCCTCTGCCTAGGTCGGGACTGCCTGGGCTGTGCCAAGACGGGCAGTGGCAAGACAGCAGCATTTGTCCTGCCCATCTTGCAGAAGCTCTCTGAGGATCCCTATGGCATCTTTTGCCTTGTCCTTACACCCACCAGGTGAGCCCCCCACAGGCCTCTTGGATGTGTTAACCAGTTGTGTTCTCTTGGGCAAGCAACTTTACTCTCTTTGCCATACTTTTCCTGTGTGCAAAATGGGGACAGAAATCATGCTGCAGAATTAAGATAGTGTGTGAAAAGTGCTGACCACAGAGCTTGACTCAGGGAAATTGCTGGCCAGACAGGAGCTGTCAATAGCCTTATACCTTAAGAATAGGCACATCTCTTGTTTTTGGTTAGAAAGACTTGGTGGTTGACACGGTAAGTTTTGTAAGAGGTAGACACTGCATGCTGTGAATGTGGTGTCAAGGAAGGCTTCAGTCAGGGGTGCCTTAAAAGATGAGAAGGGTCTCTCAAAGCGACAAGTTTGGGGAAAGGTAATCTAGGCAGAGGGAACCGCTAGCACATTCATGCAGAGGTTTGAGAGGCAGGGAACAGAAAGGGTATTGGGGGCTGAACATATTAGAGCCAGCTTGAGAAAGGCCTCAAATGCTAGGTTAAAATTGATTCTGAAGGAATGTGATTAGGAGAGGGCAAGACAAGAGGCCAGGAAGTGGGGACATGGGCTGAGGAGAGGCCTGGTTAGAGCTGGGGCCAAGGGGACTTGGACATTAACTAGCGCCAGAGGAGAAGGGACTGATGCTTGGGTTTCAGGCTTTGGTGAGGGGTGTCAAGGCTAGTGCTGAGAAATTGGGAGGAGGAGAGGCTAGTTTGTGTAGGGAGGGGCTGGTAAGGGAGGGGCCATGGGCTATTCTGGGGCCCAGTCTGGTGAGGGGGAAGGGTCCATGCAGGCCTCAAACACTAATTGTGAGAGCTTTTTTCCAAAAGAGACTGGAAGCTATGGAGGGTGTGTGAATAGAAGAGAGCAAGTCAGGAAGCTCTGGGGGTGGAAATGAGAATGGGAGACGGGCCCAGAACCTCTGTGTTATCCAAACTGGCTTCTTCACACCCACAGGGAGCTGGCCTACCAGATTGCAGAGCAGTTCCGGGTCCTGGGGAAGCCTCTGGGCCTGAAAGACTGCATCATTGTTGGCGGCATGGGTATGGGGCCCCCAGGGAGGCTCTGGGTATGGGACCCCTGCAGCCTTGGACCACCTGCCCAGCTCTACCTCCTGCCCTCCACCTGCAGACATGGTGGCCCAGGCCCTGGAGCTCTCCCGGAAACCACATGTGGTCATCGCCACTCCGGGGCGCCTGGCTGACCACATCCGCAGCTCCAACACCTTCAGCATTAAGAAGATCCGCTTTCTGGTGAGTTAGCCTGAGCACTGATTCATCTATTTGGAAAATAGATGAATCCCACAGGCCATCCAGTAGAATGTTAGGAGTAAGACAAGGATAGCTCAGAGACCCACTCAAGGTAGCCTGTACCAGCGAGGGTGGTTAGGAGCAGGGCCTGTCTGAAGAAGTGACACTGGAGCTGAGACAGGTGAGGGCGCAGGACCTCCCAAGACCTCGAGGGAAAGTGCTCCCAGGCTCATGAACAAAGATGGGAAGGTGGAACAAGGGGGATGCCTGCCAGCATCGGGCAGTGCACTCACCTCAAACTCACTACCACTACCCCCTGCTGCTGGTATTGCACATTGCAGGTGATGGACGAGGCAGACCGGCTGTTGGAGCAGGGCTGCACTGACTTCACTGTGGACTTGGAGGCCATCCTGGCAGCTGTGCCGGCCCGCAGGCAGACACTACTCTTCAGTGCCACCCTGACTGACACACTCAGGGAGCTGCAGGGCCTGGCCACCAACCAGCCCTTTTTCTGGGAGGCTCAGGCCCCGTGAGTCCACAGCCACATTCCTCGGATGGCGGGTGGGGGGCAGGAGGTGGTGGTGGGGAGTTATACCCAATACACCCAGTGGAGGTTATTGCCCATAGGTGGGCAGGGCATTGTCTGAATTCAACAGAAGGGGAAACTGAGACCCACCCCTTCCCAGGGTACGCACAGTAGAACAGCTAGACCAGCGCTACCTACTGGTGCCTGAGAAGGTCAAGGACGCCTACTTGGTTCACCTGATCCAGAACTTCCAAGATGAGCATGAGGACTGGTCCATCATCATCTTCACCAACACATGCAAGTGAGTTTGGTGGGCCAGCCTCCCACAAACCATGGAGGCTCAAGAGATGGCCTGATGTCACAGGTGGGAGGCACACAGCCAGCCTCAGCACTCAAGGGCCTCTGCTCAGACCAGAGGTTTTGGAAGATTTGCTCAAGGAGGCTCAGAGAGATCAAGCCACTCACCAGGGTCACCTCTTTTAAAGGTGGAGTCAGGATTTGGGTTTCCTCACATCTGCCCTTAACCAGGGGTCCCAGGCTGTCCCCACCCTTGGAACAGCCTATTCACTGTGGTCTAAGGGTGTCACTGAGGCCCAATATAGCAGCACCCACACCCAGGGCTGTTCTCCTCATAGTCCCAGGGAGCTTTAGAATCTTCTGATTGACAAGAAGCTGTAGACTGTTCTAACGTGAGCCAGTAGATGGGCAGTCCATACCACGTTGATGGGACCTCCTAACTGGTGCTGCCCCCGAGAATTTATTGGCTACTTGAAGAGAAAGGTCTGGATGTGGCGCTAACTATTACTGGCTTAGGCTAGGAGAGGAGTCAGCAGAAAGGACATCAGTGGGCAAGATATCCTGCACCTTTGCTTGTCCTTTCCTGTCTGTGCAGGGCCATCTGCTTGTGGTCCTAGGCAGGGGTAGGGGCAAGAGCACTTTCCCAGGACCCCAGCTTTGGAGGGCCTGACAGTGTATCCTTTCCACCAGGACCTGCCAGGTACTGTGCATGATGCTACGCAAGTTCAACTTCCCCACTGTGGCTCTGCATTCTATGATGAAACAGGTGAGGAGACCCCCACCTGCCAGCCTTGCCAGAGACTCCTCCTCGCCTCATTGCCTTTGCCTAGGCTCTTCCCTATGCCTGGAACACTCTTCCTGCCACCCATTTGCCAAGTCTGGCTTTTTCACAGTTATTCTTCCTCACTGGACTGTGAGCCCTGTGAGGGAAGGACCATTCTGGCTTCCGTCCTGTCCTAGGCCTCATACAGTAAGTGCTCAAATATTTACAAGATGGTACCTGACCCAAGCCCCACCCCCCCCAATTCTCTCCCTGATCTGGCACAGAAAGAACGCTTTGCTGCCCTGGCCAAGTTTAAGTCCAGCATCTACAGGATCCTGATCGCAACAGACGTGGCCTCCCGGTGAGCAGCCCGGGGTACTTCCTCCCATGTGTTCGCCCAGTGACACCCCCATAGAGGGGCCAGAGAGGGAGGCTGACCTCGGGCAACACCAGCTTCACTGCTGAGTGACCTTGCATGAGTCCCAGCCTCGGTTGCACCATGTGGACAGTGGTGCTCATCAGCTTCTGCCTCTAGGGGCCTGGACATTCCCACAGTGCAGGTGGTGATTAACCACAATACCCCTGGGCTCCCAAAGATCTACATCCACCGAGTTGGCCGGACAGCCCGTGCAGGTAAGCAGGCAGGGTGGGGTGGCCTTTGGGGAGCCATCCCTCCAGCTTGCCCACAACATGAGGAACCAAAGTCAAGCTGGTGGGACATGGGGGATATAGCCCATAGGTGAGAGATGTTAGAGGCAGCATTTGGAAGTTGGAGAATTGTCCTTTGGCTTTTCCATGTGACTTACACACTGTCTTCTGTGGACATAGCACAGTGCTCCAGTCCTTACCACTCCCTGTTGCCTCACTCTAGTCCTCTTCAGGGCTAGAGTCAGGGCTGCCAGTTGGGACCTTGCAGTGAATGGGTGCATGAGCCCTGTGGGATTTGTTGTTCAAGTTTAGCCCCTCACTGTGACCCTAGCCAGGGGCCAAGGAAGCATCCATCTCTGCTCCCCAGCCCTGCCAGGGAGGGGCACTGCATTTGTGAGATTTTCTCATACCTGGAGTGGAGAGAGACATGGTTTCTGGGGCTGTACTGGTCCTGTCCCTTCTTTCCTGCCCTGTGGCCTCAGGCAGGTCACATCAGCTTTCTGGACTTTACTGCTTTGTCAAATGATGGGTGATGCCTGTTTGGGGCTGCTCCAAGGATCATGGGCCTTGTGAACTGTCAGTGCTGGTCTAGTACTAGTCATTGTCACAGAAACAGGGAACAGAGAAACCGGCATGAAGAAATCTAGGCTGAGGCCTGTCACAGCTTATTGCTGACATAACTCAGCCTAGGCTCCCTGGCAGCCACGCTGAAAAGGGAAATCAGCTGCATTGCCTGCCTTTGCATACGGGCAAGCTGGCTAGAGAGCTGCCTCTCCCTGGTGTCCTGCAGCTCCCCTGGGATAACCCACTATACAGGTCTGGCTGGGGGTCAAGCCCTGGGGCCCAGGCTTCCTTCACCTGCCCCTACCTTCCCACCAAGTTTTGTTCCCCTCAATTAAGAGGAGTCTTGACCTGTCTCTGTTGACCCCTCATCCTGGCCCTTGGCATACAGCAGGTAACTGTGATGTGTCCTCACAGGGCGGCAGGGACAGGCCATTACACTGGTGACACAGTATGACATCCACCTGGTACATGCCATCGAGGAGCAGATCAGTGAGTAAGGGGGCAGGGGTGGGACACCCACCGGCCTTCTCACATGAGCAAACTTAAACTGCACTTTCCTTTCTTTACGCCCCAATGAAGTTTTTTTTCCCTAGTTATTGAAATAGAAACTCCCCATAATGGCAGTAAGCAGCCAAAAGCCATGTCCAGTGGGCAGGGATTTTGGTTTCGGAGACCATGTTGTGTGGATGGTCCTTGTCAATGGGTCAGAGGCCCTAGGGATGGGGTCTGAGTCTGTTTAAAACCCCCTCGGGTAGTTGAATGTGTATAGCTAAGACCAAGAACCACTAGGGCATGTCCAATCACCACAGTGACTGTCCTAAAATTCAGAAATACTTTGACTTTAAAGAACAGTGTCCAAAAAATATATGTATTTCTAGTCCAATTTTTAGTGTTAGTAACCACATACACAAAAGGGAGAGCAATCTATACCTTACTTAGGTATGAAATCCCAGATCTTGCCCACCTAACTTTTATCTGATATAACCTGCAGATGCCCTGCATGCCCCACCACACTGGGAATTCACTGTGTGACTGTAATTCTCTCTGTCATGTCTGCCCTCCCCTGGCCCCCCACTGTCCCCACAGAGAAAAAGCTGGAGGAGTTCTTGGTGGAGGAGGCTGAGGTGCTGCAGATTCTCACGCAGGTCAATGTGGTGCGGAGGGAATGTGAGATTGTGAGTGTCCGGGAACTGATCCTTGGGACCCAGGGTGCCCCCTTCAAGATGGGTCTCCCTTGCCCCTCTCCCCTTAACAGCCTCTCCCTCTCTCCCCTTACCCCAGAAACTTGAGGCAGCCAACTTTGATGAAAAGAAGGAAATTAACAAGCGGAAGCAGCTGATCCTGGAGGGGAAGGTGAGGGCTGAGCCAGCAGGTGGGAGGCAGGGTTCCTGAGGTAGGGGATGACCAGCTCAGCCACCTTCCTGTCCTCCCCGAGCCAGGATCCTGACCTGGAGGCCAAGCGCAAGGCTGAGCTAGCCAAGATCAAGCAGAAGAACCGGCGCTTCAAGGAGCAGGTGGAGCAGGCATTGCAGTGGCAGAAGGCTGGTGGGAGGGGCCACAGGGGCCGTCTACCCAGGGCCCAGTCTGAGGCCCACTCAGGTCCTACCTGCCCCGTCTGAGACTCCTTCATCAAACTGAGGTTGGAATGTCAGGGGGAACTTCCCCTGTTGATAGTTCCCCCCTCCCAACCTGCCCAGCCCCTCTCACTGGAGCCCATGAATACCCACGTTGTGTAGTACATGGCTCCTCCACCCTGTGACCCTGGCTGGCCCCTTCTCAAAGCCTTTGCCAAAAGGCTGCAAAGGAAAGAACACTGGCCATGTGGTTGGGCCCATCTCCATAAACAGTGACTCCAGCCCAGGGTAACCTTATGGGGGTACTGTGGGACCCAAAAGTGAAGGTGTGTCATTTGCGGGAGATAATAAATGGGTCTTTCAACTTACTCAGCCTGACTCTCAGGGAATGGGCAGGAGAGGAGGATGTGGCCTCCTGTGCCTTTTAAGTCTCCGGAACCTCATGTCACTCAACCCCATCCCCAGTTCTCCATTCCTCTTGGGCCAGACCCAGAACTTTGAACTGCAGTGCTGGCTGTTCCAGCTGGGTGACCTTGGGTTGGTGAAGCCCCTCAGGGCCTCAGTTTCCTCATTTGGAAAATGGACACAGCAACTGCACCTCCAAATGTGGCCTTGAGGTTGGTGAGACCATCCCCTTCCCTGGAGAACATGGCTGTGGTCTAGGAGCTTTAATGCCTGCACATTGCATCAAATCTAAGGTCTACAGCCAGAGTGAAGAGGGGCTTAACCAGGGCTACCTAAGTCCAAACTGGTCTAGACAACATGGGCTGAGCCCCAGGGGATGGGGGCAGCAGAACCAGCAGAGGCGTGTAGTCTAGGCATCCCCTTTGGCTCTGAGCCTCACCCTGTTCACCTAAAAGTGCTTTCCAGCCCTACACTGACAGAGGGCAGCTAGTATGTACCAAAGAGGAGACAGGAGAGTCCAATGATGGCATTTAGGTGCCCACATACCACACACACACAGAGACATGCTTAGAAATGTAATCTGGGCACCAGCATGTGCCCTGGGGAGTCTAGAAATCCTATACAATGAAAAGTCCTAACAGCCCTTGAACTGTGAGCGGCCAGGCCCTTCCTGGGCTGAGTCAGCCCTGGTCCCTGCCAGGGCAAATGGCCTGCTGGGCCGCCTGCGGCCAGCCCATGCCTCAAATAGGAAGCATTTGTGTAAAACCTATAGGCTCCAGCTCTTGCAAGGATTGGCGGGTGGACCAGGCTCAGGGTGCACCCTCGGCCAAGCGGGCCAGGCCCTCCCGTAGCTCACTCAGCTCGAACAGTCTGACATCCAGCAGCTGTGCAGCCCGGCCCACCTCAGCCCTTGCCCGCTCCCGCTCAGCCCGAGCCTCCTCCAGGCTTCGCTCTGTCACCCGCAGCTGGTGTTCCAACTCCACATTGCGGGTTTCCAGGTCCTGCAGGAAGAGGGTGGGCAGGGTTGAGGGCCCTCACAAGTGTCCAGGGTTACCAGCCCAGACCACTGGGGCAGTCAGTTTCTGAATGCCATCTCTACAGACCCCACTGTGGGCCAAGCCCCCCTCCATCTCTTGATCTCCCTGCCACCTGTGCTGAAGACACTCCCTGGTCCCCTGGCCAATGTGAACATCACAGAACTGATCACATCCTTCTGAAAGCCCTCTGGGGATAAAATTACCCATCCTCCTCCTCTCCTTTCTCCACCTCAACCTCACTGGCCTTGTGGTTACTTGAACACCCTGATGTCCTCCCCATCTCAAGGCCTTTGCACATGCTGCGCACTCTGCCCAGGAACCAATAGGGAGCATTTCTGCAACCTCTCCCCAGGACACTTGGGGGCACCAGATCCTTTAATACCTCTCTCTGCAGACTCAGGACATGCCCTGTGAATGTTTCTTGGATAAACTTTTTAGCAAAAGCCAGGCCAGCCAGACCTGGGTTCAAATGCAGGCTCCTGACAGGCTGCAGAGGTGTGAGGACTGGATGGGGTCAAGAAAAGAGCTTAGGCCTGGCCAGTGTGGCTCAGTGGTTGAGTATCAGCCTATGATCCAGGAGATCAGGGTCCATATGCCCCGGTTGTGGGCTCCATCCCTAGCAGGGGGCGTACAGGAGGCAGCCCATCAATGACTCATCATTGATGTTTCTATCTCTCTCCCTTCCTCTCTCTGAAATCAATAAAAGGAAAATAAAGTAACAGGAGCTTAGCAGAACTCAAAAATTGCTTGTTGACTAAATGGGTGGATTTTAAAATACTGAACCAATAACAACCGTTTACAAACCACCTCAGTCCTCTCATGTATCTGCTCTTCCCAATCCTTCATCTTAGATAGATGTCTTCCTGACCCCATTTACAAGTGGAGAAACTGAGACTAAAAGGGACTGGCCAGGAAGGGAAGGTACCAAGTCTGTCTCATACCAGAGGCTGGCTCTCCCATGTGCAGTCATCCCACCCCCTGGCAACCACACACACCTGCACCTTCTGCTGCGTCTCCTCCCGATCCACTGAATCAGGGGCCTCTCGGGGACCACCAGCCTGGCTCTTGAGTGTCTGAATCTCCTAGTGGAGAAGAGTTACCAGGGTGTTTTGGGGGTCCTGGCTCTCCCATGAGAGGCCAGGGAAGGTGAGGCTTGGGGACACACATACTCACATGCTCAGTGCTCACCTGGTCCTTGGTTTGCACTAAGGACTCCAGCTGCTCCAGCGCTGGGCTTGGCCCCTCCTTCTCACTGACTGGGGTTGGCTCTGTGGCTGCCTGGGCTTCCAGCTCAGCCACCTGCATGGACAGAAAGGTCAGCACCTCCCTGGAGAATCTGCCTTCTGCTCAGTTCTGCCCATGACTGGGCATTCACCCCCTCTGTTTGGAGTTACCACCCCTGGCAGGAAAGAATTTAGGGTCTGACACACCTCTGAGGTGGGCCCTAGCTATATCAGACCCATTTTACAGAGCACGAAACTTAAGGCTCAGGGAAGTAACCTGTAGAGCTCACACAGCCAGTGGGTGAACCCAGGACAGGACGTGTGCAGGCAGGGGCTCCACAGTTTTCCCAAGCCGAGGGGTCTCTATGAGGAAGGGGCCCCTCACCCGCTGCCGCAGCCGTTCGGCCTCTGCGCGCTGGGCCTCCAGCTGCTGTCTCCACTGAGCGGCTGCTGCGTTGGCCTCTCTCAAGGCGCCCGCCAACTTGTTGTTGCTGTCCTGCAGCGCGAAGAACTCGGCCTCCCACTGCACCTCGCCCACAGAGCTGCGGGGACGCACGGGTTGGCCCGGGGTGGGACCAGGCTGGCCCGCTCTAGGCTAGGGGCGGGGCCGCACTAGGCCAGGGGCGGGGCTAGGGCGGGTAGTCTAGGAGGCGGCACTAGGCTAGAGGCGGGGCCACACTGGACTGGGCGCTTGGAACCGTAATATGGGCGGAGGAAGGGTAGAGGCGGAACGGTGCGTGCGGACGGAGCCGGGGTGCGGAAGCCCTAGGGAGGCGGGGTCACTCAGACAATGGGAAGTGGGGTGGGCCCGGGGTCAGCCAGAACTGGGTGGGGTGGGGGGCACTGGTGGTTTAGAACTATCCGGGGATAGGTGTGAGCGGGACAGGGGCGGGGTCATCCCCTGGAAGGCGTGGCCAAAGCCGGAGCGCGTGGAAGGGCGCGGTCGGCTCCGGAAGGGGCAGGATTGGGGTTAGCCGCCTCCTGGTCCCCAGGCTCTGGGTCCAGAGTCAGAGCCGCCGCCCGTCGCGCCCCAGCGGTTTCTGGGACGCTCCTCTCGCAGCGCTTTGTCGGGCCGCGACCTGTACCCGCCCTACCCCCTCACCCCTCTGACAGCATCTTCTTGAGCCGCTCTCGCTCTGCGGGGCCAGGGGCTTCCGCGCTCTGGCTGCGGAACAGTTTCTCGTCGCTGGGAGGGCCATTGGCGCTGATGAGGGGGCTCGGGGGCACCTAAGGGTGTGGGCAGAAACGGGGTAACGGGAGGGGGGTGCGTCAGTCAAGGATAGGTTAGAAGATCATGGTTAGGGCCAGGACTGATGTTACTGGGGTCATGGCTGGCTGAAGGCAAGCCATCCTCCTCCTCCTCCTCACCCATCTTCCGAGGTTCCCCATGGTCCCTAGACCGGAGTTCCCGGCCAACCTTGCCTGCCTGAGCTCTCATCAATTCCCCAGGAGCAAACCTGATGCAGGTTAGTCTAAACCCACTGAGATACTAGAAATCTACCGCAGGGGTATGGAGAGAAATCTGAAACCCTAGGAAGAGTACCCTCTGGGGCCGAATTTCAACATCCATTTCAGATCCCACCAGGAAGCCCTCTCCACCATGCTGAATTTCTTATGATCCCACCTAAGGAGCCCTGAGGGCAGGGTCCAGCCTGCTTTTTCAGCTCTATAACCCCAGTCCAGCCCTGGGCCTGGCACACAGTAGGCTGTTAATAAATTACACTGAATAAATTAATGGGGGAAACTGCCCAGGAACAGTTCTTTACTCTGCTCCCTCAGCCATCTCAACTTCCAGATTTTGACTCAACCATCTGAGCTGGCTTTTGGGTCTTCTCCGACTCAAAGTTAGGCCAGATTCCTCCTGACATGCTCCATGGCACCCATATTCCTCCATGGTCCCTGCCACAATTTGTGAGCATTTGTTTGGGGAACCAGCACAACACAACCCAGGCAAACCCCCCCCCCATATTGCTGGGTAGGCATAGGATAGGGAGTACTGACCTGGTGGGTGGAGAGCCCCAGGGCTGAACTGGTGAGCTCCCCCCCATCCTGAGATTTCTCCCTTGCTAGCCTGGCTGCTTCCTTCACTTCCTGGAACTTCTCAGCAAACTGAGGAGGGGGGACAGGAACAGATAGTCAACAAATCCCTGACCCCCTCCCCTGAGGCCCCACCAAGTTACCCCCAGCCAGAACCATTCCTGTCACTTACTAAGGGACTTTAGGAACTCTGTGCATCCCCTCATCTCATGAACTGGAAAAGTGGGAAGAAGGCTTGGAAAATGATGCCCCAATGGACAGAGTGGGTTTGAGGGTGGGATGTTCATGGAGGCGGCATACATTGAGCCACCCTGAGAAAGGGATCTCCTCTTCCTCTCCATCAGGCTTATTTCAGCAAGGAGAGCCTCAGGTGGATGCTAATCTGTCTTTAATGCATGGAACACGTGTAAATATCCTTGTATGACAAAGAGAAAGCAGGTCTTGGGATCGGAGCCCTATCCAGTACGAAAGTGATTGTCCTGTTCTCATTTTTGTTGTATTAATGTTTTTACGTTTGTTGCCCCTACCAGCTTTCCAGTTAGGGTAGAATACATTTTTTTTTTTTACTTTAAAATAAATTTCCTTAGTTTGAAAATAACTTTTTAAAGGAAATATTTACAGACATATAGACACCTGATTTGTGCAAAAGGACCAGTGCAATTCACTGGGTGCAAATGAATCTTTTAAAAAATGGCCCAAGATCAACTGGATACTCATGTGAGAAAAAATACTCCTACCTTACACTACCCGCAGAAATAAATTCAAGACCTAAATATGAAAGGAAAACAAAAGCTAATAGAAGAAAATTGTCATGCCCTCAGCAGAATTCAGAAAGCACTAACCAACCATCCAGGAAAACAATGGATAAAACAATACTGACGTCTAAAGACAGCAGGGGGTGGAAGGAAGCAATGATGTCGTGCCAGAGTGTATAGGGAAGCACCCAGTCCATCCTAAGAACCCAGGCAGGGTGTGTTGAAATTGGAGCAGGTGTCCTGCAGAGCTGGGATGTGAACCAGGGAGCAGGGAAGGGACTTCTGGCTTGTTCAGTTCTGCAGCTGGGAAGGTGGAGGCCCAGCACTTGACCAGAAGCCCCAGCCCCAGCCCTGTCCCTCCCACCACATACCCACAAGACATACCTGGGTCAGATGCTGCTCAGAAGCAAAGCCAAGGCCATAGACAGTGTTGGCACGACTGTCTGCCCACTGTCCGAACTTCTGGGAGGTTTTGGTAAAGGTCATGTTGGGGGTGACAGTACTGTTGATAATGGCCTGGGGAGAGGAAAGTTCAAGGTCAGTGGAACTGTTAATAATGAACATGAGACCACTGGGATATCACTTTTTTTGGTTTGTTTGTTTTGGGGAGGTATCTCTTTGCATTAGTGCCTCCAAGGTCCTTGGTCTGAGCCATTTCAGGAGGCAGAGACTAAGGCCCAGAAAAGGTGAGGGCTCCCCCAGACCTGCCCTGGGCACATAGCAAGTCAACAACCAGACCCAGGCCTGCCACCCCAACCAGGCCCCGCCAGGACCTTGGCACCCCCAATGCTGATGATTCGGTAGACGTTGCGGGTGGCATCATAGAAGTAGGAAACAGTGAGTGCATGCTTGCCCGCAGGGATCCAGTTCCGCTTGGTGGCTGGGTCGATCTGGAACACATGTGCCCTTGTGCTGAAGATGGGCTGCTCCCTGTGTGGGGAGAGGGCACTCAGTGGAGGCCAGGCACCCCCCAGAGAGCTCAGGGCCAAGCTGATGGAGGCAGGGACTCACCTGGCTGTGGACATTGGTCAGGCTGGGCTAGGTGGACTCCAAGGGGCAGCCAGAGGGGTGGCAGGAGTTGCTGGTTCAGCCTCTGGGGTAGAAAGAGCTTGTGAGTGTCCCCCCAGGAGGGAGGGAGGCCAAGCAGGTCCAACCTTAGGACTCACCACCAGGTGCACCATTCATAGAATTTCTAGCAAAAAAGTAAGGGAATCAGTAGATCACTCAGATCAAAGAGACCCTGACTCTCTCCACCTGGAGAAGCTCCCACAACATCCTGGGCAGGTAACGGCTCTCTGAGAGGAGCTGGGTGGCCCCTGACATCTCAGCGTAACCCTGTCATCATCTGGGTTATTGGATCCTCAGTGAAGCCCCTTCAGCCTCAGGTTGGGTTGAAGAGGCCAAGGCCAGCTCCTGCTCAGTACTTTTCCACACATTCACCCATGGCTCTTTAAACCAGGGCCTCCAGCAAAAAGTATGGCATCACCCGGTGCCTGCTGGGACACCAGCAGGCACTGGCTCCACAGAGGGACCTCTCCACTTCCACTCTAGGGCACTCTCCACTCAAAGTCAAATTAGGGAGCCCTCATCCTTGTGAAAAAGACAAGATGTAGCCAAACAGGACCACCCTGGTGCCCACCACCAGATCACGCATCACCACCCACTCCCAATACCATGGGGGGCTAGGTGGAACCCAGGTTGGGAGATGGGCTCCCCAGTCTCTCTGCTGGTTCCTCTAGCCACCATCCCACAGAAGCAAGGAACATCTGCGGGGAGTGGTGGGGGGGGACGGGACTTCCTGGCCCTCCCCCTGCGTCCTCAAACTTGTATCCAGGGGATCTGCTGGGCACTCAGGAGAGACCTGAGGGAAAGGAGGCTAGCTGGGGGAAGGGAGGCCCTGGCTTAGTGGTCTCCCGGGTCAAAGGGGGACTACCCCGCCCCCCACCCAGTCCTGGGCAGCTGCTGTCCTGGTCACGGGGTCTGAAACTTGAGCCCCTGATGGGGGAGGGGCGGCAGTTCTGGCCGAAGTTGGGGGCAGGTCCTGGGTCGAGCTGGGGCTCCGGGGCTCAGGGGTCCCAGGAACTCGGGCCCTTCAGGCGGGGCGCTCCTGCTGTGACTTGCGCGTTTGGGGAAAGTTACTCACCAACTAGTCATTCCCCTCACGCTGCCGGCCGCAGGGCTCCCGGAGGGGGCCCGCCCCCGCCCGGTGCCCCGGATCCTTAATAGCTTGTGGGGGCGAAGCCCACCCCATGTGCCCTGGTCCAAGGGTCCTGATATTCAGCCAGGATCGAGTCCCCACACGCGTCAGGAGTGGGGCGCCCAGTGCGCGACTCAACTTCGGGATATGCGGTCCCCAACATCGGAACTTCCAAGATCCCCGTGACGACCCCGATTCCGGGTTCAGAACTTCGGGGACATAAAATCTGCCTCCTCCAAACCCAGGTCCGTAACTTCGGGGATCCTCTGAGCTGCCCCGATTCCTGAATTCTGGGGACCCTCTGCCACCCTTCCACCCCAGGTCCAGAATTTCAGGGTCCCTTCGCGCCCTCCCCCAGGTCTGGAACTTCGGAGACACCTTCGCAGCCTCCAGCGACGCTGGGCGTGGAACTTTGGGAACCCCTCTCACTGTCCCCTTCCCGACCCGAGCTCCCGAACTTCGGGGCCCCTGAGCCCCCGCAAGACCAGGCACTTGGGAGCTTCCCGGGCCGCCCCCAGCCTCCGCGTTCAGAACTTCGGGGACCCCCGCGCCTTCCCCCGGCCCTGGAACTTCGGGGCCCCCGCGCCAGCACGCAGTCTCGGTCGGCCGGGCTCACC